AAGAAATTTAATTAACTTTAATAATCGAATTTCTTTTTATCTCATTTATCATTTAATCATTTTAATCACATAATTTGACGAAAAGATGAAATCGTCAATAATTACTAATAATCTTAGATTACTAATAATTTGATAGAGAAAATAAAACTTGCATACTTTGATCGATATGTTAACCTTGATTTGGAATCATGTTCGTTTTCGACTTCATCGATGATTAGAATGTGATTACAAGAATCCAAATGCTCTCTATTGTTTAGATATATGTTTTGTTCTCCTTATTACGTACCTTGTGTATTTTTTTTATCACTAAATATATCTGCTATTTATAATAGAATGAGATTACATTTCACATACCAAAAACTAAATTCAATTTATGAAGAATTGTTACCAAAACATTTATGAAATTTAATGGTGAAATGTTACAAAAAAACATTTTTAACTGTCACCCCTTCTTCAACATGGGTGTAATTATCTTTCAATAGATATTAGAAACTTTTAATAACTGTCAACTGTAACCTCTTTAAACATTGATTAGATTGAATAAATTGATTTTTGTTTACTTGTAAATACTTTTTTTGGTAAATATAAAAACGGGCTATGTATTGAAGTTGCATGCATATTAGGATATATAGTAGAAAAATGAAGTGTTTCAACTTTCATTTGCACGGAAATTAGTATTTCTTATGGAACTTGGTTTCAAATACAAGCATGCAATGAAATTAGTCATTTTAAAACCAATTTAATTGGATAGAGTCGTATTTCTAATTACTTAAAAGCTAATTAATTACGCCTTAATCCTCTTCTTATGGACCTACATGAGCAACCTTTTTTTTCTCGTGAGAACGGTCACTTCTTTTTCTTTTCACTCTTTTTTTTTTCCTTTGTGAATTATTAATTAATATCTTTTGCTTTTTTTTGGACCCTCTCTTTTACACTGCTCCAATATTCTAAAACTTACAAAAGTTCAATCATTTTCACATATAAGCATAGCAAATTTTGTCCTACGCAGAGAGAATTTTAAACTTTGAATATTGTTACTAATTTTCAACTTGATTCACTTATATAAATTAGCACAAATTTGTATATAATAAACGAACTATATAGTTAATCTATTTAATTACATTTACTAGGGATATGTGACTTCGGTGAATATAGTATATATCCGCACCCGCCAACGATAGAACGGAATAAAGTTGAGTTATCAAAATTAAAATTGATAAACAAAATATATTTAAAAGCAAAAAAGGTGAAGACAAAAAAAAAAAGGTTTGCCCTCTGATTCTTTCTTTCCTTCGAGACATAATAATAAAATGATCATTTTAAAACAGAAATAGCAATGATAATTTGATGATATAATCATCTTTTTTATTTTTCTATTTTGTTTTTCTGTTTCTTACAACCTCAGTGTCTTGCAGAGGGCACATGCCTCCAATTCAAGAAAGCAACACACAAAAAGATTCTAGGGTTTTGCGAAGAGATCCTCTCAACCAAGTTTTGGTTGGACCATCCCGAAAATTGAGGCATTGTAAAATATATAATTTGATTAAGAAGGTGCGATAGATTTCCAATGCACCAGTTTTTTGTAAGTTCCGTGTATACTTACGATTAAGGTGAGATTCGATTCATAATTTTAGCGGTTCGGTTTGGAAACAGTTTATTCGGTATTTTAAAATTTATACCAAATTAGTACCATATTTTTCGATTCGGTTTCGGTTTTGGTACGATCCAATTTCGATTTTTGTTATAAAAAAATAGATTTTTTAACAAAATTTTGGTTTTTCAGGAATTTTATTAGGTTTGATTCGGTTTAGAAAAATTCGATTCTATAAAAACATACTGTTTGAAAATTTTGAATAGTACGATTTAAAAAAAATATTGAGACTTTTTATTCGAAACACTCACACCTACTTATAACATTGGACTGTATATTTTAAAATTGAGTGGTTCAACTTGTAAAGAATTGATAAAGTTTTTCCCAATTCAGTTTGAATCTCTATTTGGGAAGAGAAATTATTTCTCTTCGAAATGTAATTGGATCGAAAATTCGGTTAATTTTTGGATTATAAAAAATAAACATCGGACCAACCATGCATTTGAGCATATGAGTATTGAGTTTGATTTGAATAAATAACTATAGTAACGTGCGACATTTTGTAAAGCAATGCAAATGATCTTTTGCATTATGTTCAGATTTGAATAAATTATTATTTGGATGAACCCAGACCGAATGAAATTCCATTCACCTCAAATTTGGTTATATGTTCTAATAATTAAATAACTGGTTTTTATTTATATATATATATATATATATATATATATATGCTTGTTTGTTTCATTTCATTGTATGCTTAAAGATCCACGTGTTCTGTAATTACTATAAAATTCGTCATTACTAACGATAGTTTCCAAGTGTTACTGAGAATTCGTTTTGGATATTCTTAAAATAATTGGTAATCCAACCCATAAAAAATGATTCGGTTATGGAATCTTGTAACAAACAATAGAAAATAAAAAAAGGAAAAAAACGATGACATGTAATAGAACAAACGATATCCAAATAACTTGTAACAGAAGGATAAATTACAATTAATTTACTCTTGGAACCCTTTATTTAATATTTTGGATTGTTTCTCGAAGTTAACAAATATATATTGGATCCATTTATTCGTGAATTTAAATGAAATATTCTATCGATTGATCTTTTAATATTTTATAACCAAGTTAATTCTATAAGAACAAAATTCTAAAAATGGAACCGAAAGTCGAAACCTTTTTTTTTAATTGAATTTTTTAATTTATTTCTCACCAAAATAAATCGAATCAACAACTCACAAATATAAATAATAACCAAATTAATTGAATACGGATAAATTCGGAATATTTCAAATTAATCGGCCCTAACACTTATTAAATTGAATTAAAATCAAAACTAAAAACAATTAGATGATAAAAAACATTGTCAAAGGATAATTATTAATTTTATCATAGTTTCATTTTCGTTAAATAAAGTTGAAATATATAAATAAAGCTGTAAAATCAAGATAGCGAAAATAAAATTGAAAAAATCAAGATAATCTGTACGTACACGAATTTTAAAAGAATAAAATTTTCCAAATTTGAAAAATGAATCATATATAAGTTTGTTGTTTATGCATCTACTTTGCACATTGAATTGTTTTGAAATTGTTTTTAAATAATATTTTTATAAGAATAAAATAAACAGTTAGCTAATATAATCTTAAATTAAGTAAATATTATTGCTACAATTAATGAAAATCTCGGTGAAAAGAGATTGAAAATGATTTATTTTATACTATATGCTTAAATAGTTTAATGTAAACGTAGTACAGATATGATGACGCCCATTTTTTTTTTTTTTTTTACAAAGTTATAATTGATTGTAATTGATTTTTTTTGGACCAATGGAAACCGTGTAAACCATAACTCCTTACCTCTAACAGTGATGAAAAATTAAAGTATAGATTGTATATATTATATATACACAAGCATAATATATATGTATATATATATATAATAACCGTATGTATATGTGTTGGAGCAATAAGTATTCCAAGAGGAGGCAAATTACCTCTCATTAAACATAATGAGGCTCAAAGTAAGGCAAAAAAAATATGATGGCCCACATATTTGCACACTATTTATTATTGCCATCATATTAGATTGTATATTTTGGATATATGGTATATTAAAATTCGATTATTTTTCATTTATTATTTTTATTTCTTTTTTATATTAATTGTTGTTTTAATTAAAATTTTGTTCGAGTATGGTTTCGGTTCAGTTTCATCAAAAACATATATTCGGATATATTTTTACGTTATTCAACAGATTTGACTTTTTATAAACACAAAATGAATATCCAATCGTAATATGTGTATATGTATATATATTATCGTGACAATTTGTTTTATTTTTGTTAAACAAGATGATTATTTGTAACACATGTCTAGTTTGATGAATTTAAATAATCGAATAAATTGCACATGATTAACTTATGTATGTTAGATTTTTATGGGCAACAACATAAATTGAATTATTATTTTTTAATTATATGCCCACTTCTGTCATGTATATTTGTTTAAATATAAATTGTGTGTGTGGGGATGATGTGTTGGATCATAAGCATGCACCTTTCCTTTTGCTTTGTTATGATGGGGTGTGCCTCCATATATGACCTACTTGATTATACACAGCCACAAAGATCTTTCAAAAAATAAAAAATAAAAAGAATTGCATGGGAACACATCATATAAAATCCTTTTAAAATACCCCATTTGATACTTGTAATTTCAACATGTCTAAATCTTGCAGTGGAAATTTAATATTTTTTTTTTTTTGTAAAGAATTTCGTTTAATTTGAAAAAAAAAATTAAAGTTTAAATGCCTTGCAATTCATGCCATTTACAAAATTTGTTATAGGGGTAAATAAGGAATTTCACATGTGATGGATGGAAAGGGGGAGCTCTCTCCATCACCCCTCATTCAAAAGCAATAAAGAGCATGTTCTGATTAAAGGTAAAGGCTATTTTTGTTATAACAAATTTAAATTTAAATTATTTTACCCAAAAAAAAAGATATAAAGAGAGGGGGTGTCAACTTTATTTCTTTGTTTCTTTTCCTTTTTTTAATTTCATTTCCTTTTTAAACAAAGAATGAAGATAATATTAAAGATTTATACCTGGAAATTATGTTATTTTTGTCTAAAATTATTCAAATAGGTTATTCTAGAACAAATATTTCCTTTAAATAAAAAAAAAATTCTAGATTGTTTAACTACAATAAGGATAAATAAAAGGACCAAATTTTATCTGCATATAATTGGGTATACAACCAATATACTCCATGGCCATTTACATATATATATATATATATATATATGTATATATATATTTATATGCGTGTATGTGTGTATGTATGAAAAAAAACAAATTTTGTGATTATGATAAGACATGAAATAAAAACAATGTAAAACAAAGCTTTGTGATCATCATCTTGGAGTTATCATTTCATCTCTTCTTCTTCTTCTTCTTCTTCTTCGTCTTCTTTGAAGCTTTATTTTTTTTCTTTTGGATAAAAGAGAAAGTAAAAGCATGGCGAAGGGAAATTAAATAAAAGAGCAAAAGAGAGAAGAAAAAAAGGAAAGCTTTAGCTTCTTCCTTGTGCTTGAAGACTCTTTTTATGTCTCTCTGTTGTGTCTGAAGCAGAGCAGAGAGCGTTTGAGGAGGGGGAAGAAGATGTTTGATTCGACGCCTGAAATTTCTCAGATTCCTTTCGTTTTCCTTCACTTTCCCGGAAAATCATTTCCCATCACTCTCCTTCTTAAACCCATTTGTCTTTCCTTCGAATCCTTCCAAACTCCACAACCCTAAAAAAAATCCCCCAAAAACAAAAAAATAAAGGATAAAAAGCAGAGCTCTCTCCGAAGAAAACAGCCATGTCCCTTTTCATCCTCTGCACAATCATCTCCTGTCTTCTCGTTTCTTCTTCCGCTTTTCCAGTCGACGATTTCGGCGCGTTAATCTCGTTGAAGCGTCGATTTCAGTTCCCGGAACCGGCATTGTCCTCTTGGAACGAGATGAATCGGAGCTCTGTCTGCACCTGGGTCGGAATTCAGTGTTCGGAGGGGCGAGTTGTGTCCTTAGACCTCACGGGCTTGCAGCTCGGAGGAACATTGTCTTCTCGCTCTGTTTCGAATCTGCAGAAGCTCTCAAGCTTGTCTATTTCGGGCAACAATTTCTCCGGAACGCTACAGATTTCGGACATGCCCGGTCTGAGATTCATCAACATCTCCGGCAACCAGTTTTCCGGCGATCTCGACTGGGATTTCTCCGGATTCCCGGATTTAGAAGTCTTCGATGCTTACGACAACAATTTCTCAGCTCCTCTGCCGGTTGGGATCGTTGCCTTGGAGAAGAAGCTAAAGTACTTGGATCTCGGAGGAAACTACTTTTTCGGTAAGATCCCTGCGAGTTTTGGAAGATTGTCGGCTTTGGAGTATCTTTCCTTGAACGGAAACGATCTCCGGGGGAAGATTCCCGGAGAATTGGGGAATCTGACGAATCTCAGACAGATTTATTTGGGTTATTACAATGCTTATGAAGGTGGGATTCCTGTTGAATTTGGCAAGTTGGCGAATCTTGTTCACATGGATCTGTCAAACTGTGAATTGGATGGTTCGATTCCTCGGGAGCTCGGGAATCTGAAGCTTCTAGAAACTCTGTTCTTGCACATCAATCGGCTCTCGGGTCCGATTCCAGGGGAGCTGGGGAACTTGTCCGGTTTGGTGAATCTTGATCTCTCCAACAACGCGTTAACCGGGGAGATACCGGACGAATTCGTGAATTTGAAGCAGCTCAAGCTTTTTAATCTGTTCATGAACAGATTCCACGGGTCAATCCCTGATTATGTCGCCGAGTTCTCGAATCTGGAGATGTTGCAGCTGTGGATGAACAACTTCACTGGCGTGATACCCGAGAATCTTGGTCGGAACCAGAAGCTGCAAGCTCTTGACTTGTCCTCAAACAAGCTCACGGGAACAATCCCGCAACACTTGTGTTCCTCAAACCAGCTCAAAGTCCTTGTGCTGATGAAGAACTTCCTCTTCGGGCAAATCCCGGATCGGCTCGGGACTTGTTACAGTCTGGTCAAAGTAAGGATGGGGCAAAACTACTTCAACGGAAGTATTCCAGACGGGTTCATTTACTTGCCTCAGCTGAATCTTGTCGAGCTTCACAACAATTACTTGTCGGGTAAGCTGCCTGAAAACCCTAATCCGTCTTCGAGCCCTACAGATTTAGGGGAGCTGAATCTGTCCAACAATCTTCTATCCGGGTCATTACCGTTCTCCATATCGAATTTCTCCGCAATTCAGATCCTTCTGCTCGGCGGAAACCAGTTTTCGGGTCAGATTCCGCCTTCGATTGGACATCTGAACCAGGTTCTGAAGCTCGATGTGAGCCGGAACTCGCTCTCTGGTCTGATCCCGCCTGAAATCGGTGATTGTCTCCACCTTACTTACCTCGACATGAGCCAAAACAACCTCTCCGGTTCAATCCCTCCTCAAATCTCCAACATCAGGATCTTAAACTACCTGAACCTCTCAAGAAACCACTTGAATGAGACCATACCAAAGTCTATTGGCTCAATGAAGAGCCTAACCAATGCCGATTTCTCCTTCAATGACTTGTCCGGTAAGTTACCCGAATCCGGGCAATTCCTCGTCTTCAACGCCACTTCTTTCGCGGGCAATCCCCGCCTCTGCGGGTCCCTTCTGAATAACCCTTGTGATCTCTCCCCAGTTCCCTCGAGACAGCCGAGGAAATCACCCCGAAACTTCAAGCTCGTCATCGCCTTGGGATTACTCGTATGCTCTCTGGCTTTCGCCGTGGCTGCAATAGTCAGAGCCAAATCATTCAAGCGGAAGCACGGACATAGTTCTTGGAAAATGACAGCGTTTCAGAAGGTTAAATTCACTGCTTCCGACATCATAGAATGCGTGAAAGACGGGAATATCATCGGAAGAGGCGGCGCAGGGATCGTATACTACGGGAAAACGCCGAATGGAACAGAAGTAGCGGTGAAGAAACTCGTGAACGTCGGGGCGAACGGGCATGACCACGGGTTCGGAGCCGAGATTCAGACGTTGGGCAACATCAGACATAGGAACATAGTGAGACTGCTGGCTTTCTGTTCGAACAAGGAGACGAATCTCCTCGTCTACGAGTACATGAAGAACGGGAGCCTCGGAGAGGCGATTCACGGGAAGAAAGGATCGATACTGGTGTGGAATCTCCGGTACAAAATCGCGGTGGAGGCTGCGAAAGGGCTGTGCTATCTCCACCACGACTGCTCGCCTCTGATCGTCCACCGAGACGTGAAGTCTAATAACATCTTGCTGAATTCGACATTCGAGGCACACGTGGCAGATTTTGGACTGGCCAAGTTCTTGACCGACGGCGGCGCCTCCCAGTGCATGTCAGCCATCGCCGGCTCCTACGGCTACATTGCTCCAGGTCAGGCCTCTTTCCTCATCGTTTCTTTTTCGCCAAGTAATTAGTTTATATAATTAACCTTCTTATAACCCTTTAAATCCAACAAATTCTGGCAGTTAAATAACTCTTTATAATAATAATAATAATAAAAATAACTTCACAAAAATTATAGGAAACAATGCAAACTAATTAATGTATAAAACCATATTTTGTTTTGAACCTCGTTAGATTTATAATCACTATCTAATTTTGTAACATTTTCAATGTAGTAAAAGATTTTTAAAAATAATAATGGGAAATTTGGGTATTTTGCAATAAATGTCATCAATGATTAGAGAAGCCATGGGAGTTCACATGGTACGAACGAATGGTCCGACGAAGACGAGAGAGATTCTGCGAAAGTGGCAGACGCAGAGTCCTTCGTCTTTCGTGAAATCTTAACTGGAAATTTAAAAAGGCAAAAACGAAAGAGCACCGAGACAACGAGAGAGACAAAAGTACACTTGCATGGAATTTTTTGGGTATACGAGCAGCAGACGGAGACGACCAAATATGTACATAAACGAAATTAAAATTATTTTTATATATATATATATATACACACACAGAAACATAGGGGTGGGGTCCACGTGAGAACTTTGATGTGATCTAAGAGACCCGAGACGTCGATCTGACCGTCTGACATCGTCAAGTTCTGGACATGAGAGATGTCCTAACGTAACATGGCGTGGAATCTCGTGAATATATATATATATATGTAAATGGTCCATGAAATCTTCTTTATGAATTTTATATTTGATATGGTTAATGAAAAGATGATACGGGTCTAACGTGTAAAGGCACTGTCGTTATTGCTAAGGAGTCCCACTCCCATATAGCATTCACTTTCCTTCTTCTTTTCTTCCTCGAGATTTGTGGAGTCCAATTTGGCAAGTTGGAAAACATTTTACTTTGATAAAATAAAAAAAGAAAAATCATTATCTAATAATAATAATAATGGAATATTTCCCTTGTTCTTGTGCAGAGTACGCGTACACGCTGAGGGTGGACGAGAAGAGCGACGTGTACAGTTTCGGGGTGGTGTTGCTCGAGCTCGTGACGGGAAGACGGCCGGTCGGAGATTTCGGGGAGGGGGTGGACATAGTCCAGTGGGTGAAAACGGTGACGAGACGTCGGAAGGAAGAGGTGATGCTTGTGGTGGACCACAGGCTAAGCAACGTGCCCAGACAAGAGGCGGCGCATTTGCTGTTCGTGGCCATGCTATGCGTCGAGGAGAACAGCGTCGAGCGGCCGTCGATGAGGGAAGTCGTCCAGATGCTTCTGGAGTTTCCCCGGCCGGAGACTCCCTTCTCGCCGCCGCCGGCGGTTCACAGTCCGTGCAAGGGCGTGACGAATGATGCCAAAGCTAAACAAGAAGACTCTTTGGTTTAAAGGGATCGGTTTTGGAAATTTTTTTTCTTAGCCCTTTAATTAGTTTTCTATAAGTCTTTTTTTTTATATATATAAAAAAAAATCTTTTAGGGTTATGGTATTGGGTTGGATTTTGTTACACCTTGGCAATCGATGTGAAATATATATAAATATGTGTATACTTTTTTTCCCCAAGTCAGAATATGTGATTTCATGAGATATCTACAATAATTATGAATTTTTATTGAGATGTTGGAGGATGCCATAGGACAATTCATGAATTTGTATGCATTTGGTTTTGTGGAGGACATAAATTTGCAATATGTGGTATATATACAGTGTCGATATAGAAAAATGTATAAGTTAGATACGGTAATAACACGACAAAAAAGCAAATTTTAATAAAAATATTTATATAAATTAATTTAAATAATTAAATTAGTTTAAGTCGCTTTTGGATTTGGAACGTATGACCCGACTAATGTAAATTCGTCCATGCATATACATATTATAACAATGGCGAATGTACAAGTGAACGCAATAATTTTTTTTATATATATGTTCTATCTGCAAATTGAAGAAATATATATAGATTATCGGATGTAACAAAATTTTATAAAGAAAAAAATATTTCAGAGTTTACGGATTTTTTATCATTTGTTTACAAGAATCAGTTTTTACAATAAACAAAAAAATTACATGTTAATTATCGTAGGTCAACTAAAAATTTCTAAATCTGCAAATTGAAGAAATATTTATGAAGTTCAGGTTTTATTTGATAAAAAACAAAGTCAGGTTTTATTTTGTCAAAATTAAGAAGTTAAGGTGGTATTATTTTATCCCCTAAAAAAATATTCTAAATCTTCCGTTCTTCTCACGTATTGCCAAAAAAAAAAAAAAAGGAAGGAAAATATCTAATACTGCCACGTACATTCGCCTTGGGGCTTTTGAGTTTCAACCTCGAGTGGCTCTAATCAAGCGCCTGGATTTCCATATTGTTCTTGACATTGCCCTACATTTCCTCAATGATTTATCTCTTCTGGTCAAATCAAGCAAGATCTTTTGGTTTCCCTGAGGAATTTTCAGACTCTATATGACCAAAGAGCCAAAATCGCCTGTGATTGGATCGTCACCACAGCGATCAAAGCCATGTCAATCGCTCTCAAGCTCTTTCCTGTGCCTTCACTCTCCAAAACCCATCTCCGGCTCTCTCCGTCAATCCCCAGACAGCGAGTTTTTCCCTCCTCTTTCTCGCCGGGAAGCCGGAATTTCGCCAGAATCCGATGTGCCCACGAGAAACCCGATCACTTTCCCGCCACTGTGGCGAAACCCAGATGGGAGGAGGCTCTGTCTGCGGCGGCGAGCTTGTACCCCGTTTACGTCACCGTCGGTGGAATTGTGGCATGCGTCAAACCCTCGACTTTCTCTTGGTTTGTCGCGAGAGCGCCTGTGTCTTACAGTTTAGCTCTAGGGTTTATCATGTTGGCGATGGGAGTGACGCTTGAGCTCAAGGACTTGTTTGATCTGTTCAGACAAAGGCCTCTCTCTGTGAGTGTTTTGATCCATCGGTCTTTGTTTCTGTTTCGTGCATGTCTGATCAGTGATTCTGATTTTGGGTTTTCACTGTCAAATCGAAATGTAGATTCAGGGTTGATTTGATTGCTTAATCTGGATCATGTTCAAGTGTACTATAGAATTTGGAATTTTCACTCGGGACCTTAGATGTAGTAGTGAACCCACAAACATTTGCCATCTGTTTGTCTGAAAGTCACGTGTGATGAATGTCGATTGGTTTTAGAGAACATTCAAGTTTCTGAATCAGGACATCATGTTGGGGAACTCAATGTGTTACAGATACTGTTCGGATGTGTTGCTCAGTACACTATAATGCCTGCTCTTGGATTGCTTATCAGTAAGATCTTGGGACTTCCTCCGGCGCTTTCAGTTGGTTTGATACTGCTCGGGTGTTGTCCCGGTGGTACAGCCTCCAATGTGGTAAGAGTTTGATCGTTTGGCTTTGCATTTTCCAATACACAACTTCCACCGAGAAACGTATGCTTACATCACCCCTAACAGAGGATTTCTAGATGGTGTGGTTCTTCGATTCAGACGTACATTATTGAAATAGTTTTGCAGGTGACGTTGATTGCTAACGGAGATGTTCCACTTTCCATTGTGATGACCGTCTGCACGACCCTTGGAGCCGTAGTTCTCACCCCTTTTCTGACCAAGATTCTCGCTGGATCTTATGTTCCCGTGGATGCTGTTAAACTCTCCATCAGCACACTGCAGGTGTCTTATACCGGCTTTCTGTTTATATATACATATATATATAATAATTCTCTAGATTGTATTTTGTATAACACAATCTTGCCATATCTCTAGGTGGTCGTTGCTCCGGTTTTGCTCGGTTCTTGTATACAGAGTTCATTTCCGGCATCAGTGAGAATCGCAACACCATTTGCACCCTTATTTGCTGTTCTTGCATCGTCCTTGCTTGCGTGCAGGTCTCGTTTTATTCTATTTCTTCCTCGCTCACATGATTTTCCTTCTCTGTTCCTTATCGGTTCTGTCTCATTGTTTCTTTCTTTTTTTTTTTTTGTGGAAATTTTGTTCAGCGTGTTTTCGGAGAATGTTGTGCGCCTTAAATCATCGGCTGTCGGGGCATCCTTGACATCAGATCTTTCCCCGTTCCTTCGGATTCAGTCGTTGTTTTCTGGAGAGTTGGGTCTCGTCGTACTAGCTGTCCTGCTGTTGCATTCTGCTGGGTTCCTTGTCGGGTAAGAATACTCTTTCTATATATATTGCGTCTTCCCCGACTGCGTTCTTCACGCGTTATCGGTTTGAGTCTTTCGGCTTCAAAGCTTCTTCCCGCTTGTTTGTGTGTCTATTCCTCTTCTCAAGGAAGGTTTTTCCTCAAGTTCAATTTCTTAAACAGCTTGAGGGTATTCATTATTATAGTTTTTTTTGTTGCTTTTACGACGAATTTGCTATGTATCTTCCGAT